AAACTATTATTGACTCTTTGTATTTTGTTTCAAGTGCCCTCAAGCTTTCTCCCCACTCAAAATTAAAATAGTGGACTTTTATATTGCTCCCTAACCCCTCCCATGCCAGTGTGTTTTCAAACCACTGAAGAAAAGTATTGGCTTTATCAGTCTTTGTGCCATGATTTCTGATTATCACATTATGTTTTACCTCAATTTTGAATTAGAAGCTTTTTTGGAGTGACCTTGGGTCCTGTCTTTAAGTGTCTAGGCATTATTGAAAATAAGCTTCTGGTCCATGTTGGGTTCATTAAAGGTCCAAGAAATAGTACGGAAACATTTTAGAGAGTTAATTGCTTATATTGGTGTACAAATGAAAGTTTGAAACACAAATAAAAGATTTCATTAAACTATTCTATGACAATGTCAATGCATTTTTTTTTTTTTTGTTTTTTAAAATATATTTTGGTAACCAGAAAAATAATGCCTTGGTCCTACACCTGGAAAAGTAGATTTTTTCAAAATTATCAGAAAGCTTACAATGTGAAACTACAGCTTACTGATTATAACAATTCTTATATCTTAAATCTCAAGATTATCCTTGGAGTTATATTGAAATGTTATTTGCAAGGAGCAGAGGATGGCACTGTTGGACTGCAATTAGAGGTGATATAGACTGCATATCTTGAATAATAACATTGCACTACATTACAGAAATTCTATCAGATGTCTTACAAGAAGCGACAGCAGGAAAAGGATTTACACTCGTTTTGATCAACATTGTGCTTGAACTGTTGCAGTGAGATAGGACAAATGATTCTTTTTTCAAATGGGATGTGGCTGTAAAGTAGAGTAGTGGAGCAAAAGTGGGTGAATAAAACCAAAAACATTAAATCACATATTTTGGCAAGTAAATTATTAGTATAATGTTTAAGGGCCTTCCTGGTGCTGAGTCCTTAGCTGTGAAATGCCTGAAGTACTGAGTGCTTGCAAAGACTTTGGCTCTCTGAAGTAGGCACCATGGTATCCACAGGCTCCTCAGATGAAATAAGCTACAGAGATGTTAATTCATGTAGGAACAGAGGATAAAACCTGCAAACCACTTAAAAAAACCTGACTGTCTTCTGAGATGTATATATCCATGCCATATTGGTATAGCATACAGCTATCTTGTTTTCTCCAGATTTCACAGGAAGATTTTTATCTTAAAAAGCTATTTAATATAGTGAAGGGGGAAGAATCACATTCTGGGAATGTTAATATGAGTATTTAAAAATTGTGCAGTCAAATAATTCAGTTTTGTTATGCAAGAGGTGATTAGCTGTGCAAGCTTCTGAATTTTGTTGTCCATGTGTTACTGATAAAACTAGCATTCACTTTATTCATTTTTCTCTAATTTTAGCTGAGCTTAACAAAAAAAAAAAAAAAAAATCCCCACACCTGCACCTTTTGGTTAAAGAAATTAAATTTCACCTCCGATCTGACTGCTGCAGTAGGCTCACTTGGTCTAGAAAATTTTGGGAAACCTTTCTCTTTGTGAGAGCGGAGGGAACTTTTGTTGGATACACACAAGCCACTTTGCAGATCAACAGGGTTTGTTTTCCAGGATTGCTTATGCTATCAAGTACATTGAGACAAAATTGGAGAAACATACTGGACTGCTAGTCTTATTTGCAGGTTATTATCTCTTAAAAGGAAGATTTGTGAAAAATAAAATTAAAATAGAAGTAGAATTTATTTGAGATCATGATTTTGGTACTGAGAATTTGTTGTGATCATTTTACTGCAACTGGATTGGCATTCAATACCCAAACCATTTCAAACTGCTCCTATAATTTTGCATTGTAGCTACAAACCCCAATGAAATTCTATATTTTCTTGGGAGTTTTATGAATTCAAATGTACTTCTCAATATATCTCAGCTCAGCTTCATTGTAAACCTCAAAAACAAGTAAAACCTCAAAACAAGTGAGTTTTTGGTGTTTGCAGTTTTTAAAATAAATCATATTACAGAGTTCTGCCAATACACGTTTTCTGTATGTTAATAATGTGTCACTGTTGCCTTATTTTTCTGTTATGGTAAAGATATTTTTTTCCTTTTATTTTTTTTTTTAATTCAATTCAGCCATGGGAAGGGAAGAAAAGAGAAACTTTACATTCTGAATGTCATTTTTTTCATATTACTTGTCTCAGTCATTCCCAGTTTTATTGGCTCCTTGTGAACAATGAATGCTATGGGTTGCACCAAAAGTTATTGTGTCAGCATTTGTGGTTTTTTTTCTTTCCCCAGTGAGAAAGACTGTTGTGATTCAAGAAAATTATTATGTCTATTTACTGGGAATAACTCCTGTAAGAAAAATTTAGTTTTTAGGAATCCTCTTTAAATTCTCCTTCGCAAGTGTAATTTAATGCTCCAAAGTTAAATTACATTGGTCTAAATTCTCCACAGCCACATGATTTATGGCCTGAAGGTAATTCAAGGATACCTTGTGACTATTTGTGCCAGTTTTATGTTATCATTACTCTGGGGGCATTTCCGGTTTCTCACGGTTTTCACATTTCTAAAATACTTACAGCATAAAACCTGTCAAACCAAGAATGATCAAACATAAAAACAAACATACCAACAAACATAAAACTATTGATAAAAATGCAATGTAATGAGCAGCTGTACCACAGCAGTAAGAATCCTCAGATTTTTCCATGTGCAGTTGCAATGTGTAGACTTTCTAAACCTGTCATCTTTCCAGAAAAATCCTAGCAGAGAAAATCAACATGACAAAAATAGTTTCTAGGATTATGGCATCTGCAAATTACTGCCCACAGAAGGATGTGGCAGAAGATAAGTAGTTTGACAGAGAAGTAGATAAATTCTTGGACTATTTATCCATAAATGGATCAAAAGACATCTAGGCAGGAATGTAGCTTCAGCATCCCTCAGAGTTGCTGAGGAGAAAGGATACCAAGAACTGGCCAAGCTTGAGGGATTGCTTTAACCACAATCTTCTCTGCCACTGCCCTAGGCTGAAACTTAGGCATTCATGAATGCTTGGTCAGACAGAGTAGTGCATTTATTAGATTCCTACAGGCTGAAATGCAGGGCAAACTTGGGTGTTTCATACCATTTCATGGGTTGGTTTTAACATTCAGAGCTTGTGAAGCCTTGGAATAATGCTGTGAGAATATTCAAGACTGCTGTCAAATCTTTCTTTAGGAATATTCAATATCCTGTTAAATAAATCTTTTAAAATATAAAATTAATCAGATGTTTTTGTTTGAAAATGACGTTTTTCTTTGGTCTAAATTTTTAATTGAGTGACAAAAAACATTTGAATCAATAAATAATCAACACACTAGGACAACTTTGTGCAGTAGCTTATTCATTTGTAGGTCCTAATGCTGCTTCTTTGGGTCAAATGTAGGAACACAAATTTTAGTTACTATTTTGAAAGACTATCAGGAAAATCTCCTCTAATTCAGACTGTACATCAGGTATGTAAAATTAGATGTTCTTGAAATAAATCAACACATTTTTGGATAATATAAAAAAGAAACTTCTAGGAGGTATAACAGACCAAAATTTTTTGAGTTTTTAAATTGCTGGGATTAATTAATATATTGCATTTTAAGTTTTAAAGTGTAGAAAGTCAGAAATTAAATACCAGAATGAAATATTCAGGATAAAATCCCAATTTTAGTTAGCCCAGTGACTAAGATTTTATTACTTTCTGTGGGGCTGTCCCACTAAAAGCTCTGTCTGTACAATATGCATGCTTGCTTTACCATTAATGTATACTGTGTATATATACCATATGTGAGACACAGCTAACAAATGAAAACTTAAAAAAAAAATTAATCAAAAAATTAATTTCAAAAATTTGAAACATCTATATCTGGGGCAACATTTTAGAACCTTTTTCCTGTTCCCAGACCTTTCTGAAAAAAAAGAGACAAAATGCAAGCAATACTTGTACAGAAACTTGAGTGATGCTGAGCTTTCCACATGCACAAAGAGAGGAGTGACAGTCCAGTTTTCCTTACGAATAGAGATTATCACAAATACTAAAATAAATCTGCTAAGAGTCTTGTCAAGGTTTTTTCCCCCCTCTATTTTTTTATCTGTTTTTATCCAAAGTACTGAAAGGTTACCCTGTACCTGCTCCTTGATTCTTTCTATAATAGCTTCTGTATCCTGACTTTCCAAAATTTGTACAGGTACTCACAGCAGTACTCCAGGGTAATTGGTCAGTGTAAAAGGCCATCATAGTTTATGGGGCAGCAAAATCATTTTAGGGATAATTAAAGACTATTTTTATTCCATACCATTATTTTTCTTGTTCAAATGCTTCACAGTAATAGAGAGCTAGGCACTGTTAATGATTTCTATAGTTGTCACCAAAGCAAAAAGAGATATATTTGTCTAAAGCTATCTGTCTAGTGCTATTTATACAGTAGCACAGTAAGCAATTACTGTACACTAGAAAGTTCAGGTAAGAATAGTAAGACCAACAATCATGTGGCAGGCAGCTCTGAATGCCCGCAGGGATTAATCTCCTAAATCTCATTTATATTGGTAGATTTTCACATGTACAGCCTGCACCTCAGATATCCTTAATAATTGCAAAAGTCTTGTCCCCATGATTTGTTCTCAGGAAACTGAGGTCATTTCAGAAATGAGGAATTAGGCGTTTGAAGGAAAATGAGTAGGTTATGAGGGCCAGAGAGGGGAAGTTCTTGGAAACAAGGAAGCTATAGGATAATTTTCCTCTTTTGGTATATGCACATATATAGTCTGTTATTGAGCCATAGGCTATGCATTCTTGATTTTCTTTTTTTATTATTACCATTACTTTCATTATTTTTTGTTTTTATTTTGTTATTATAGGTAACCCAAAAGTTATGCAGAGAAATCCCCTGGTAAAACATGCAAAGATAACTCTCATATGGCATTCAGAGTAGTATGGTGGCTGAAGACCTACAGTATGAAATACTTTTTGCAACAGTAAAATTGCCCAACTTACCTAATCAAGCAAGTTTTCATGTCTTTTGAAAGAAGCTGAAAAAAATCACACAAATAAATTTGTCATTTTGATTGTTATTTCTTTTTCCATATATTGATCAAAATATATACTGTGACTTTGGAATACACTACTTATTAATAAAGCTGAATAGGATTTTCCATCAACATTATTCCTCCTTTAAAGACAAATTCAGATTTTATATTCTGAAAAAAAAATTATACTTTTCTAAACCCATTTGAAAATTGTAATTAGAAAACTGAAATTAAATGTATGTCTAATAGAAAAAAATGTCTAGTAGAAAAAAAGTGATCACCTGGATGTAATATAAATGAAAATGCAAAAAAAAAAAAAAAAAGATATTTGTGTTTTCCTCCAATCTGATTTTAACTCGTATTTATAGACTAGAGAGAATTTTAAAAATAAGAGTGACATTTGTCTTGGAGACAAAGAGCTCTCTAATTTTTTTTTTTAAGTCTGGCAGCTCTTTTAGTCTTACTGTATTATGTAATGATGAGAATGAAGCATAAAAAACTCTCCTGGCTGCTAGATATTTCTCCCTATTAAGAATTTCCCCAAAATAAAATTTTAATGAATTATGTCTCATATCTCCCTACAAATGCATATTTTCAGTGGATTTTTTAGACAAAACCACTTTTCTTTTAGGTCTTTCCTCATTACAATAATACAGTAATTTACTGGACGAACAATAGGCAACAGTTGTTTGAAATGCTGGTCATCAGAATTTTCTGTCTGTGCAGACACTCTGCTGCAGCTTTAATGAAATACCTTGTTACAGCAGTATTAAATCTGTATTCTGTTGGCATGACTTTGCATTCTCTGCCAAGGGCACTTCAGCTCATTTGTATGAAGATAAAGTAGGTAGGCAATTCTGCGTTCACCAACTTGCCTTTGATCTGCTGGCAAGAATATGGAGTTTATACTACAGAATCTCAGTTTAATGACTGACTGAGCAGGACAGATTTTTACAGCTTTGGATAACAATGTATTTTCTTCTATACTGCGTCTGCCTTCATGCCTTTTACTTGAGATACAAAATATACACCTAATTTTCCCTTTAAATCTTGTGTTTGCAGACAAGAGATTGTTCCTTTGTGAGCTATCCAACTTTCTGCTACAACTCCAATATATTAGATGCACATGCTTGAATACCTTTAAACCCCACTGGCACTGGATAAACTAGTGAAAATTGGAATTATTTTCCCTAAAAATGGGAATTTTTCCTGTATAAAGAATGATGGATACTTCCAATCCCCTAATAATTTTTTTTGCCACCTAGAATTTTATAAATTCAAAAAACCCATTCTGTTGGATTGTTCTTAATAAGCTAGACATATAACAAATAGAGTAAAAAAAAATATTTGGGCATATTTTATGGATTTCACTAATTAAACACTTTCAAACTGTTCCTGGCACCATAACTAGCCTGAACTATATCATATCAGGTCATTGCCTTTTTTCCTCTTGCATTATTATTCTTTTTATGCTCAACTGTGATAGTTAACATTTATTTCTTACTATACCCATCTAGATTTCATCTGGGATTTATTAAAACTAATATAATATCTGTCTAGGCCAGAAGTTTCCCAGAAGATCATAGCATATTTAGCTTTTTAACAGTTAAAAGCAATTCTTAGGGGGATTCAGGTGTTGTATCTTGGCATTTCATAACTTTTTTGTGTATTTTATGAGTTACACTCTCACGTATTTTTATCTCTATATATTTAAAGTTATATAAATACAGTTTTATGTGGTGTGTAGTGTAGGTATAAACCATATACTTGTAACTACTGATGGATGGCCTTTCAGCACAATATGTAGATAAAACCCTGAAAAACAGCAGAGTTGTTCCTAATGCTTGTCACCAGCATGGTTGACACCTGAGACATATTCCTCTCTGAAGATACTGGAGAAGAGGCTAAATGTTTGGCTGCACATCCCAAATCCAATTCATGTGTGTGGGACAACATGCAAACTTAAATGCTGGTCATGATAGATATCAAATAAACAAAGCCCAGCTTCAGAGTCCAAAAGACATAAGTGATAGAGGAAGTATGGAAATAGTGAAAACCAATAAACCCTTCTTTGCTTCCTGGAAAATCGTTCAATCCTTCAGCTTTCCCATACAACTATTAGTCTTCAGGTCTTGGTCAGCTTGTTGGTGTGCAAGCCCATCACAGCTGGGTTTTTGGTGGGCAGGTTTGTGTGAAATGCTGCTTTTATGTAACTGGCTCAGTAGTGTGGAATAAGTTAAAGAGAATTGTATCTGCTGGTCCATTGGCTATGCTGTCTTCTAAAATGGGAAACTCCTCTCTTGCACCCAGAGAAGAAATGAAACAGGATTAGGATCATGCAGGAAAAGTAAGTCCATATGTGAACGGCAAAAAGGTTTCCTTTTGTGAGGATAAGATCACATCAGGTGTTGTGCATTACCTCAGTGCTGCTGACACTTTAACACACTCCACCACACGGCTCAAAAGTCCGCTCAACTGATTAAAAATGAGACAGGTGGATAGGAAGCTTGAGTAACTTTTATCTCAGACATAATAAATTTATTTTTGATTGGTAACTAGCTGAGAGCTGGGCTGTGGTTAAGTCTAATATGTTCTCAAACTTGAAAATATTATCCAGAAACAGTTATGATCAAGCAAATATGTCTGATAAAATCAAAACTTTGAAAGAGTTAAGCGGTGAGGATTTAATGGTATATAGAGATTTAGAACCTAAAGTTTTCTGTAGCTAGAACTTGGCTGAAGGCCTTGAGAGGATCAGTAGTCTGTCAGGGAAGAGCAGGTTACCCAGAAAAAATAAACAGATAAACTCCCTGAATTTTTAAAGTGAGATTAGTGTGGTTGCATAAATATGTGCTGTTCATTTCATAGCTATTTGCTGAAATAGTATGATAAGAAATGAAGAAATTTGGTGTGACCCAAAACCTGCATTGCTTTGGTAACAGTCACTGTTGTGAGGAATGCTCTGTGAAATTTCTTGTATTTTAGGAGGTGATTATAGCCTGCAGAGAGATTAGGGAGAAAAGGATGAGATACCCATGGGTGCTTGGAGATGCCTGTGGAACGGAGGCAAAGAAAAGCCAGGGAGATTTTCTTTGTAAAGCCTGAGGCTAAATGTCTGAAGAAGTGAGTTGAAGGCAATGGAGTGTACTCTGAGCTTGCCTGCACATTTAGAGAGAAGATAAGGGCAGCCTCTGCCCTGTGCTGGAAATCTGCTGTGTCTCTACAAGACACCATTCCCACAGGAAAAGTAGTGATGAATGCAGTGCTGCCACGGCCCTGTGGATATGTATGTGGCATTTAGGGCTTGAGCATGGGGAGCATACTGAGAAAACAAATCTTTCCAGAAGAAAACAGGAGAACATGAATGAAAAACACTTTATCACCACCAGTTATTTCCAATGTTTCTTTCTAGTTTCTGGTAGTGTACTAAAGATCAGCTCCATGTCAGCAGAATCCACCTGGGTTTCCAGCAGTGTAACTAAGATTAGATTAAGAAGTTTTGTCTATATCTATAGCTATCTATACCTATATATCTGAAGCTTGCTGGCATTTCCTAGATAAATCTACCTTTAAATTTATCTGTAATAGTATTATGCATTAGAATCATGGCTTCTTAAGGAACCCAGTGAATAGTGGTGAGTGCTACCTGCAGTTTATTTGGCTCAATCTGTTCACTAGTGGCAGTATCTAGTCAGTGTCTGAGCAAGGCTGATTCCTCAGATGGTGTAAATCAGCCCAGCACCACTGACGTTAATAGATCTTTGCCAGTTTACATCAGATAGGAGCCTCTTTTGCTCTTTCTTCCCAAAATTTATGAGGATTATGGAGATGAGCTGTAGCCCTCGTGGCAAATGTATCATTTATATATGCCAGGTCTCTGCATAGTGTGATTGCTGTGCTCTCCAAATCTTTACAGACATTCTATGATACATGTGATGACTAAGTAGTGGAAGTCAACAGAAAGAAGACTAAGCATAGCATATGGAATTTTTCTTTGGGTACTTTTCCCTTATCTTTCTTTCAGCCTCGGGATGAGGGCTAAAATTATACTCAATAAATAGTTTTATTGAGTTACTAGCATTTCAAGTCATCTTTACACTTGAGTTTCCTTATTTTATACTTAATCATCAAACTCCTTGTATCATTTTCAAGGTCTGAGCATTCTCTTCTCATAGCTTATTCATATGCTGCCTACCAAGGACTGAGGACCTAAAGGCACTTCTGAGCTTACATTTCACACAGAACTGCTGAGCCTGTTCTGTGAAAGTTGTAGATCTGTGAACTATGGTAAAATAAAAACTTATACTAAGAAAACCAGAGCCCTGTGAATCCTGAAAGCAGTGTTTATTGTGTCTCAAATGAAGACTTCTCTGAATAAATTCAATATTTCATTTTTAGATATCTATGCTTTAGTGTCAGAGAAATAAAATTAATGAAACAGAGACAAGGAAGGAAAATAACAAGTAAATACACATTTCATTTAAGAGACCACTACATCACCAATACCTATTTCTTTTCTTTTTCTCTGTGGCTTAGAAATAGGAAAAAAAGTACCTTGGAAAAAGTTGAACATGAAGTCTCTATCTTTTTTTGTCTTTCTTACCTCATGGTATATCTGAGTTACTTCCTCTTGTTATTTTGGTATCAATTTTAATCTCTACAGAGATTAAAATTGATAATAGTTATATTTACTTTTCTGTTTGCACATCATCACTGAGGATGTCAACTATCAAAGTACCTCCTGCCATCTAACTAGTAGCAAAGAATTAAATTTAAACTTATAACCTTCTATAAGGTTGATGACTCAAATACTTTCCCAGTAACTTCTGATCAGAAATATCTCACTTTTAGGAAGAACATGGAGTTCTTGAGGACTTGTGGTGCCAGTGCTGGCTCCAAGAACAGCAACAGGCTTGTCTTTCCCCTTTGGGAAATACAATACTATTGAGAGGTGGGTACAAGTGTAGGTTAATATGATGAACATGAATGTTTTTAAATATCTGGGGATAGCAAAGAAATGACATATGAAATGTCAGGAAATGACATGGGAAGATATGGAAAAGTGCAGCAGTGCCTGAGCAAGTGCTGCTGACCAGGGAAAGCAAGCCCGTCTTGGCACTTCAGCCCTGACACAGATGGACACGGCTCCACAGCTCTTCATGGGTCAAACAGATGCTAGAAATAGAGAACTTGAATATTACAGCAAAGAACATATTTGTATTTTGGCAACATTTATTCCCAGCTCAAATCAGGCACCTCAGGTCT